TAAGCTGACACCGGAGACACAAACGTTTCTTGGAAATTAATACGAAGAGATACGACAGTCCGCTCCAAACTTTACTCCTCCCTCCCTCACCTCAAAAAAGCAAAAGTAAGCCCAAATAAGCACATATTCTGGCATTCAGCGTGTCACAATGACAATGCTAGCTGCACTGCTGTCCATTCTCAGCATTTCATGTAGCGTCACCCTTATCCCTTTTCGAGGGGAACTTATTAACTCTTCTTTCCGCTGGACTGTAACCACACAATTCGACTGGACCAGCCAAGAGCCCCTACATAGCAATTATGACTGTTTCTACAGATTTGACTGGGACTTAGCTGTGTGTTTGATGGCACAAATTCACTGTTTCTCATTCAAAAGAGAAAGTTCTCAGGAAAAAAAAAAAAGGAAAACAAGATAAAAGCCCTCTTAAGCTCCCCCGAGCAAACTTACTCCACCCTGGATGAAGATGGTGTCCAACCTGTTTATTGCATCTGTGCATATGCCAATATCTTCCGGTGCAGATAATGCCCAAAACCTGGCTGATCACATGCAAAGAGTGCAGCTGCATTAGCGTGACACTTTACTGATGACTGAAATCAGTTTAATACAGCACTGTTTCTTTCCCCCCCACCCCAAGATCTCAGCTCTTATCTGCTGCAGACCTGGTCTAACTAAAACTCAGAGGAGAGCTTTAAGATTTTCTAATTGCTCTCTTAAGCACTATAGACAATCCCACTATTTTGCCTGGTATTGAAATTTATAACCTTCACATCATCTTGGTTAAGGCCAAAACATTTCTCTGCAGCCTCATACTTCATCCTACTAATTCTGTAAAGCACCACTAATATTCCACTTATGCACACAGCAAAACTTTGCATCAGTTCCCCTGCAACCATTTTAACACACTGTTCTCTAGCATTGACAATTGCAAGCCTGCCTCAACCTCTGCTGTTCTTTTACAACAGCAATTAACTTATTGGAAAGAATATTCACTTAATCCATCATTTTAAACTTTATGACCCTCTTTTCCATACTTCTAGCAAACGCTTCATTGCTACTTTTTTTTCCCCCCCTTCAAGAACTACTGTTTTTTCTGCTTTCCAAGTCCATTCTCAGACTACTCATCTCAGATTTTTCAAATACAAGCCTCCCCCGCTTTGTCACCCTCTTGTTATTTCCTTCACCAGCATGGTTTGTGCTCTTTCTTGCATCTGGAAGAAGCTCCCAGTAAATGTGAAAAACTACCTTCCTGTTTTACTTTTAAGACTTGACAGGAGACACTAGTCTGAGATAGTTGCTTATTACACCAACTAACCTAGTTCTCTCCCTCCGCCACTCTGCCCCACCTGTTTACTCTTGTGCAGTTTACTCACTTTCTCAGCTTCCCACTGAAATGTAAGCTCTTCGGGCCAGAGATTATCCTTTTGTCCTCATACAACATCTAGCATCTAGTCCTGGTTCAGGCTTAGCGCTTCTGTTTCTATGATGTAGTGTCTAATCGCTATTCCTCCCAAATTATGAATAAACGCCAAAAAAAAAAAAACCTCACCCACACCTCTACAACTTCTTTCAAAAGGGAAATATTTCACACTATGTCAAAGGGTCAATATCATTGTTGTTTCAACAAAATTGACTCAGCACTTTTGACAACATAGAGAAAACAAAATAAAAAACAAGAAAACAATTCGTTTCTCAAATTTTCTGAAGGAAGTAATGAATGCTGAATCTACACGTTGCAAAGCACTCCTGTACCACCATTTGTTTTCAAGCATTAAAAAATCAAAGTTGCCTTCACTTCTTAGCATACATTTTGCAAAACTCCTTGTATAATCCAGCATCCAAAGTGCTATCACTGAAAAGTAAAATATTCAAGTGAGAAAAATACAGACGGAGAGACAAACAGATCATTACCTCTTCTCCTCAATTTTAGGTATCCTCATGAAATGAGAGGTGATTTTGGAGTCTTTCTTCCCACCCTGTTTTGCACCTTTCCATTCTGATGACGGAGCAGGACAGATCCCAGGTGACTTTGTATGCAGACCATCCTCTTTGATGGAATTATCTGTTCCCTCAAAGCTTTCATAATCCTTGGCAGAAAACCGTGACTTTCTTCCACATTGAATTCTGGAAAACTTGTTTATGGACTTTGACACATTAATCTCCTCTCGCTCATCAAGAAAGGGACTTGTTTCTTCATCAGCCTCTGATCCATGACAGCTATTTTTAGAATTATCTACATCCATTGGTGACTCTGGTTCACTTTCTTTCTCAAAAGCAGGAGAATCCCCTGAACTACTCCGACATTTGCCCAGTTTCCCAGGATCTCCAAGATCAGATGCATAGGCATCACAACCAGCATCTGAAAGCGGGCTTTCTGGAACTATATCGCCTTCCTCTTGTTCACTCGTTAAACGGACCACATCGACAGAATTGCAACTCTTCAGCTTCTGTGAATTGCGTGAAGCCACTTGTCCATCAGTCTCAGTGTCTTTTGAAGAAAGTTTTGTATTTCCCATTTTTGAAGACCGGCCTGACGATAATTTCCTTTGAGTCCAATGGTCACTGTTTTCTTCACAGCCTCTTTGAGCCTGTCTGCCAGTTTTCTGCATCTGATCAATGTTGGCATTTCTAAACAGGTCTCCGGACTGTGTCCCCTTCACAGGCTCTGTGTCCAAGACTGGATCTTTACATACGCCTTCAGCCTCCCAGTTAAATAGGCTGCCTGTCGGAGGCAAGTTTGCGTGCTTTACGCCAACTTCCACAGGTATTTCTGGATAATTTTGCTGACAAATATCCTCTAGCTTTTTCACATCATGCTCACAGAAGTTGTCTTTTTTAATTGAAGTCATCTTGGCATCTGCTTCAGTATTGTTATTAATTTTGCTTTGTAAGCTGTGGAAGAGAAGTAAGAGAACTTACTGCCTTATCTCCAAATGAAATCTCTGTGTGTATTTTTTCAACAGAGAACGATTATAAACATACAATAGAAACCCCATTAGTCCTGCTAAGCGAGCACTACCAGAACCAACAAGTTTTACTGAAATGGGGAATATATGTCAGTAATAACATATTTCCATTTCAACGCTTCAAAGGATGATGAATCAGTTGCTCACCTTAGTAATCTAGTCCAGTGATTCACTAACCTTATGTTCAAATCTAAAATCTTTCTGTCTAAACTTTCCAAAACTGTATTAAGCCACGCATCTGTCAGCTTAAAACTCATTTTTTTTCCATTTGGAGAAAATACCTAAATAAAGCTGGAAATCATGGTAAGTCCTCCTTAACCACCTTTTTAATCAGTTAAGGACAGTAAGAGTAAGGAACTTGACTGTTTTGTAGCTATTCCTTCAGAGCTACAAATTTACCTTTTACAAGAGCAGGACACAGAGTAATCCAACAGTCTCAAAAATGTCACCCTACTTCCTTACTCTTGTAAACAGCCTATGACTCTTCAAAAAAACACCATACATAGGTACAACACAGAGTATATTAGAACTGATAATAAAAATTAAATTTTAAATTAAATTAAAAATTATTAAAAAGTAACTTAATTTGTTCTATACTAAGTATTACACAAAGAAGGAGAAGGAACATGGTCTTAACAATTAAACAGGAGAATGAATTGAGTTTTATACAACCAGCTTCAACTTTTCAAGAGACAAGGGAAAGTCCTATCATGTTTGTGCACTCATTTTTGGACAAGTTTATCGATGAGGGAAAATACTTAGATGCTATACGAAACTTAATAAAGATTCTATGCCTACTTTTGGTGAGCATATCGCTGGAAAAAAAATGTTCTACTGAATGTGTTATTACAGTATTGTATATAATTAATGCAAACCAAGCGTGTTAAGCTGTTTGTCTGGTCACCACCCAGTCTGTTATCTGCAATAAGTAGAAAAATTTCTGATCATCATGCAATCCTAAATTCAGCAACTATTAAGATTCCTGAAAGCATTCTCTCCATGAGTGAGAACAGCTTCCCTCCTAAAAGGGCACTCTGGATAAAAGAAAGCAGTCACACTCCTTAGCACTACAGAACAAAGACAGAAGGAGAAAAAAAAAAAAAAGGAAAGGGCTTGGACCAACAGATGATAACTTGGAACTTCTGAAAACAGAAGGATTGTAGAGGCTTTTATGTTACAACTTGCATCCCTCTTCTATGCATCTGTTCCTGCACTGAAAGCTTCACTGAACAAAATGAAAAAGTCATGCTACTGCTGCCATCTCTGCAAGACACTGCTTAAACGTATTGAAAAGACGTCAAAGGTAAATGAGAAATCAAATCTTAAAAAAAAATACTGTGTTAAAATTCAAATAAAATAAACTAAAATCATTAAAGTTATCAGCAATAAAGAGGCATATGAAACGTTCACATGACTCGACCTTACTGTTTAAAACTGGCCAGGCTTCAATGCGGCAGTGAGGCTGGAAGAGGGCATATAAAAACAATACTCAAGAGGGAATTTGAAATAAAGATTCGTTTACTCCTTCAGTATCATTTTAACGTCTCTTTGCTCCACTACAATCCATGGGCCTGTAATCAAGCTCTCTGGACATCTGTATTAATCGTTTTCTTAAGTTTCCTTGTCTTTTGTTGATCATTTTAGCACTGCTATGGATTATCTCTAATTAACAACAAACATTACTGGAAAATAAACCATCGTATTTACATTTGGGATCACGGAAAAGTATCGTCTGATATTCCTTTGCACCAGACAGCATTAAAATGAAACTCAGAAGAGTTTAATTGTCTTGCCAACATTGCTACTGCCAGACTACATCAGAAGAAGGCATCATCAACGCTTACTTGGCACTATTCAATAGAGAAACTTTTATAACACCTTTCCCAAAACAATTTGAACGTATAGTTGAGCATCTTACAAACTGCAGTCCAAATTAAATTGTGTTGCATGTGCTTATACTATGACAGTCAATTGAGATGAAGCAAAACTAATTTTGTCTGTAAATTAACAACAGAATTAAAAGAACCGTGAGTGCAATACAAGACCATCGGCCGAAATCTGAAAATTATTATTCCCTACGTTAAACCAAAATAAAAGCAGATCTGTTTACTAAGGACATTACCACTAACCTGATCTAATCGCTTTCTACCACTTAAAGTGGCAGGTCTCTTTTGCCTTCCATTGCTGCACATTCCCATCTTTTTCCTTGCAAGAGAACAAGTACTTACTCACCTAAATGGCGTGCTGATTCGGGAAGCCAAGTCAGCAAAAAAAATTTGTTTTGCTGGTTAGCTTTCAGTAGTGAAACTCTGTCAACTAGTTATCCATGGGAGACGTGCCCAGGCAAGGAAAGCAGCAGAAACAGGGGTGCCTTTTTTCAGTGGCTAGCTGTATTCACAAGCCACACTTAGTTCTCCACAGGCCCACTCAAAGAACACAACTTTTGAATAGGTACGCTGTACATTTTACCTTTTGGACTCAGCCGTCTGGGGTCCTTTATTCTCCAACCAAGCGGTAATTGTCCGTTGTTTACAAACTGAAAAACCACAATCCACTACATTATTACCTGAAACATCATAACGTTACAACATGATTGCATTTGAGTAGGATAACTTATACTGAATTAAGGTAAAAGTACCTCAATTAAATCTTTATTATCACCTCTGCTATAGGAAGCATCCAGACTAACATTATTAATATTACACGTGACGCAATGTTTAATTTGTAATGCAGTCAGTAGCCATAGCTTCTGTAATAACCCCGACAAACGCCGAGCTTGTTTTGTTTTTTTTCCCCTCCAACACTTTTCTAAAACATGCTTTAAAAAAAAATACTTTAACTTTTCAACTACCATTATCACCTTTTATTATCACCAACACAGCGAGCCCTGAAAGACTTCTGTTGAATTTTGGAATGAAGAGGAGATGTATCATAATCAAATTTAAAAAACAAACAAACAAACAAACAACTTCCCTTTCTCTATTGAGCTGGCATCTTAGAATACCCAGGTAATGATCTTACTTGCATGCAACGTACTGTGAAACGTGAGTCTTGATATAAAGACTGTGCATGTCAAGAGT